TCCTCCTCCTCCTCCTCCTCCTCCTCCTCCTCCTCCTCCTCCTCCTCCTCCTGGGTGTCCCCCCGCTCCGCGAGGCCTCTCTGGAACACCCTGTGGCTCCACCCCCTGGGCTTCGTGAGCCGTACTATAGAGGCCGCGGGGGCCTCCCCTGAGATCCGACGTTGCAAACCAAAACGGAACATCGCAGAAAATCACGGCCCGAGCCCTGGACCCCATCTTTCTGCTGCACCTGTCGAGCTGGATCGATCTGTGGGGGCCCGATGGCCCGAAGCAAGCCAAGCTCGCCCGTTGCGCATGACGTTCGCTGCGCGGGGGGCAGCGTATCCGTATTCGCGGCGCTGGCGGGGCGCCGTATTGCGCAACTCTCCAAGGTGCCCGACCGAGTCGGGCGCCTTTTCCGGCCCTGCGGCAGCGCTGGTCGCCCGAGCCTGCTCGTCCAAAAGCGACGCGACGACCCGGAGGCCCCTGGCGATCCTGGGGGGGGGGGCACCGTGGGGCCAGAGGCCCGCCTGGCAGCAGCCAGACGGCGGGGCGGGCGGGGGGGACCCGCCGCGCCTCTTCCCGCCAGCCCGCCCCAGGCCTCGCCTCGAGGGGCGAGCAACGGCGGGGAACGGAGAAGCCCCCCCCTTCATCAGCTGTGGGGGTCGGTGTGTTTACAGTCGGGGCGTTGACCTAAGGAACGATAAATAAGGAACGAGGCCCCTTTTTCCCATATAGTAAACTCAGATTTTCCATGGAAAACCTGAGAAAAACCCAAGGAGCACTGTAAAGCAACTAAGGAACACGGAGCCCCTCCCCAACGAAAAGCGTTCCTTCTTCAGGGCCCCGACTGTATGGCTCCCATCCCTATCCTTTTCCCTATCCCTATCCCTATCCCAAGCTTCGTGGGTGTCTCGAGTGGACCAGAGATTAGGGGCCCAGCACTGGGATGCGCAATGGGGGGCGTCCATTCTCGATAGAGGTGCGTCCGAATTGCCCCCTGGGGGTGTCTCCCAGTGTCTCCCTCTGAGCGGCGAACATTTCCAGGCGGGACTCGAGAGGGGGGGTGCTGGGAAGGGGCCTGCAATCCTTGCCAAAACATCGCCCCTCGTTTTGTGGCCGCCGCGATCGCCGCGGTGACCTCCAAACCCGATCCAGAGGTTTAGTCCGGGGCCAGATATCACGCAACGGCAAAGGCTACCCTCGTGACAAGAGCCCCCTGCAAACGAGCCCCCTTTCCGTCATGACACGCACCCTGGCAGGTGACGGAAGAGGACCGAGCTGCTTGGCAAACGCGCGAGCCTGCCCAGTGGGCACCACCTGCGGGGGTCGGTGTGACAGTAGCTCCCTGAACGGCTGGCTTAGGAGAGGGTCGCGAGGGCGATGGTGACGTGACGTGTTGAAACCGCTCGCGGGCACAAAAACCGTCAGGGCTTGCCCTTGCTCCGTGGAGCCGACGTATAAAATCGACCAAATGGGGGTGGCGCACGAGATCGCCCAGGGAAGCCGTGCCCTCGGCGCGCCCGAAAGCGGCGCGCCCGAAGCGGGCGGAGGGCGCCGCGCCTGGCATGCCCCATGCCCCGGGGGGCCGTGGCGGAGCGCAAAAGCGCGCGCGGCGGCCCCGCTCACTTGGACCGGTGGAGGACCTTCAGGGCGTCGTCGACCTTGGCCTTGAGGTGGGGGTCGGACTCCAGCAGCATGAGGAGCTCGCTGTTGTCCATCTCCAGCATCATGCCTGCACGGGGGAGGGCCTCCGCGCTCCGGCCGGGCGGCTGCGGCATGATATCCTGCCGTGAGGGCCCGCGTCTTGGGCTCCGACACCGGGTGGGTCGTTCGACCTTGAACGGTCGGCGGTCGGCGGTTTCTCGATCGTCAAATCGTTCCAGGTTGACCGACTCTGGGGCACTGGCGGCGTTCGATTTGAAAGCCCGCGGTTGGATCGCCGCTGCGTGGAGACGACGCGAACCTTCCATACGGCAGGGGAGAACGTCATGCTCCAGCAAGGGCTATGCCATGCAGTGCCCGTCATCTTCGCTGCGCAATTGAGATGGCATTGGAACTGAGTTGCTTCTCGCCTCATAATGTATCCGCCACCATGACAAGGGGCACGATGTGAGTGTCCTCTGGCCCTGTGGTTTCACTGTCCTGAGCGAATGAATCTCATTCAGGGGCCTGGACCCCAAAGTGCTGGAGGAGGAGAAGGAGGAAGAGGAGAAGGAGTGTGTGAGGTGTGAAGGGGAGGAGGTCCAGAGGCGTCTGAGTAATAACCTTAACCGCATCTTCGGATACAAATTAAGGCGAGGTCTGAGACCGTCGTACGGCTCAGGCGAACGAAGAGGCTCACACAAGGCGAGAGGCCGAACATCCGAAGGACGGCCCGACGAGAGCACGGCGGTTGGGCCAGAGCCCGGGATACATCGCGGATCCCTGTGGGAGAGGGGGGGGGACAGCAGCAGAGAGGCCAGGGTGGCGCAGGAGGCAGAGCAGCGAGAGGACGAGAGGAGGGTGCGGAGCCTGCAGATGCTGGCCGCGACCCCCTCAGTGCCCTCGCTGCCATCCTCCCCCTCCTCATCACAGTTCTTCTTCCATGATTCTTCGCCTCTTTCTGAATACGGTAAGGGCGTTGGATAATGAACCTTCGGATGAGGAACCCAGGGTCTAGAAGCCAGCGGAATTCCAATCTTGGGATTGGCCATGGATATCACCGCCGCCCACATCAGAGAAGGAGACCTCCACGGTCTGAAGCCTTCTGGGCACATTCCTTAACGGACGCGCCCACCGTAGACCCGCGCCGCACATGACCCACACTGACTCCGCACAGAACTCCAAGGACTGATCACCGAGGGCAAGTACGCAACTAGGACGAGCAGGAGCTGGACGCAGGACGATTTGGACACCCGAGGAAAAAATCGGCACGATGCCCAACAACACATGTTGTCCACAATCGACAGCGGCCGCTGCGGCGGCCGCTGCTGGGAAGATGTGATGTGTGTGTGTGTGTGTGTTGTGTTGTGTGTTGTGTGTGTTGTGTGTTGTGTGTTGTGTGTTGTGTGTTGTGTGTTGTGTGTGTGTGTGTGTGTGTGTTGTGTGTGTGTGGTGTGTGGTGTGTGGTGTGTGGTGTGTGGTGTGTGGTGTGTGGTGTGTGGTGTGTGGTGTGTGGTGTGTGGTGTGTGGTGTGTGGTGTGTGTGTGTGTGTGGTGTGTGGTGGTGTGTGTGTGTGTGTGTGTGTGTGTGTGTGTGTGTGTGTGTGTGTGTGTGTGTGTGTGTGTGTGTGTGTGTGTGTGTGTGTGTGTGTGTGTGTGTGTGTGTGTGTGTGTGTGTGTGTGTGTGTGTGTGTGTGTGTGTGTGTGTGTGTGTGTGTGTGTGTGTGTGTGTGTGTGTGTGTGTGTGTGTGTGTGTGTGTGTGTGTGTGTGTGTGTGTGTGTGTGTGTGTGTGTGTGTGTGTGTGTGTGTGTGTGTGTGTGTGTGTGTGTGTGTGTGTGTGTGTGTGTGTGTGTGTGTGTGTGTGTGTGTGTGTGTGTGTGTGTGTGTGTGTGGTGTGTGTGGTGTGTGTGTGTGTGTGTGTGTGTGTGTGTGTGTGTGTGGTGTGTGTGTGGTGTGTGTGTGTGTGTGTGTGTGTGTGTGTGTGTGTGTGTGTGTGTGTGTGTGTGTATTGTGTGTATGTGTGTGTGTGCGTGTGCGGGTGTGGGTGCGGGTGTGGGTGTGTGGATGTGTGGGTGTGTGGGTGTGTGGGTGTGTGGGTGGGTGTGTGGGTGTGTGGATACCGGGTGTGTGGGTGTGTGGGTGTGTGGGTGTGTGGGTGTGTGGGTGTGTGGGTGTGTGGGTGGGTGTGTGGGTGTGTGGGTTTGAGGGTGTGTGCGTGTGTGCGTGCGTGCGTGCGTGCGTGCGTGCGTGCGTGCGTGCGTGCGTGCGTTGTGTGTGTGGCAGGGCGAGCAGGACGAGCAGGACGAGCAGGAGCCGGAGAGCGCCTGTTATCTTCCCGGCGAGCTGCGGCTGAAGCCTCGCGATCGCCGAGTAGAGCCGCTCGCCGATCATCTGCTTCTGCACCTCGGCGGGCCCGCCGGCACAGCCCCCCGCCCGGTGCGCCCGGCAGCTGCTCGCAGAAGTGCCCCCAGCCCCGGGTCCAAGGGGGCCCACGGGCTTTCTCTATGCAGAAGGAGGAGGAAGAGGAACGCGCGACTGATCACAGTCACTGTGAAGAGGAGGAGGAGGAGCAGGAGGAGGAGCAGGGGGAGGAGCGGGACAAAAAGCGCACTCCAAGGCAAAAAGGCGGCCACCAGGCTGGTGTTGCCGGCCTGCGTCCCAGCATCACCCCGGTCTGGCTCAAGAGAGGCAACCGCACGAGGAGGAGCAGCGAGGGCTCGCGGAGGGTGCTCTGGAGGCCCTGGGGGCATGCCTGGCCATCCTCAGGGCCCACTGGGCCAGGGGCTCCTCTTGGCAACCCCGACCTGTCCCCCTTGGTGCAGCGCTACCTCGCGCCCCCCGCACGATGAGCACCGCTATGCATGCGCCCTCGCGCCCGACACCCTCATCGTCCGACAACACAGGGTGATGAGCGTGCCAGCTCGCGTGGCGGGTTGCCCTGGTGCCTCCCGACACCAGACGCGCACATGCATCGAGGAGGGCGCCCGGCGGCGGGGGCCGAATCCAGCTGCACGCTGCAGATCTCGGTGCCCTCCCCCTTCCCTATAGCCATCGCGTTACCCTAGGCATCGCTGCGTAAGCAACAGCGAGCGCTACCCAAAAAAGTTTCCTGGCCACGGCGAGCATGGGCCGCTCCCCGACCCGGTCCCGAGGAACAGCCCGACGACCACAGCCCCTCCGGAGCCCCAAAAAAGAGCCCTTGCCCCAGGAAGCCCCGCAGGAGTCCAGGAAGACTTGCCAGGGAATTGCCCCGAGTCCTCAGGGAAGAGCTTTGTCTGCCCGGGCGCCGACGGTGGCGCCGCCGCCAGCATCGCCGCGGTGAGCGGCGGCCGCTGCTGCTGCATCAAGCCCGCGCCGCCCGGGCCGCCGCCGTTCTTTGGCACCACGGGCGGCCGCATCATTCCCATCATGCCCGGCATGGTCGCCTGGCGGCCCCAGATCTGCAACGCACTGCACAAAACAAGACGGGGGCGTTTCGCAAATTTCGGCCCCTGGGGGTCTTCGCCAAGCACCAGGACCGTCAGAGAACGACTCGGGGTGGAAAACCCGCCCCAGGGGAAGCCGTGCGGGGAAAACCAAAAAAAAATGCATCCGAAATCTGGGGAGAGAGCTGAACGCGACAGGGCCAAAGGAAGATTTATGGCCACCGCCCCCGCTCGCGTACGTATCGGGGGTTGCTGAATGTGTCCTTGGCCCAGGGTGCCCCCAGCTTTTCGCTCCATTTTGGGGCCGATTGGGCCCTCTGGGCCTCGTGAGGGGTGCTCTGGGCGCTGTAGGGGCCTCCTTGGAAATCCGGGGGGCACCGTGGGCCAGGGGCACGTCTTCCAACACCCGAACTCTGTGCCAGCTTGTTCGTCGGGGTGGTGTACTCAAAAATGCCCCTGGGGGATACAAATGTTGTACACAGCCCCCTCTCCACCGCTGTGTTGGAGCTGCTTGCCTGTGCTGTTGGAATGTCATTACGGCGCGATTGGCGCAGCAACGTGAAGCAGGAGATCGCCGGGCAAACTCGGCTCGCTTCACGGGCCGACCACCTGCCATAGGCCAACGCACGCGACAAACTGCAACCTGAAGAGGGGGAGGGCAAGACGAGCGAGAAAGAACAGACGGGGAGAGGAGGAATACGAGGAGGAACAGGAGGAGACAACAAACACACGCACGCACCAGAAAAAATGAGTCCGAAGCTTGGAAGATACGTGGCAAGACGACAAAAAGAAATCAGGATAACGCGTCGTCGAGGACAAAGCGCGCGAAGGAGAGATGCCTGTCCGGATGTTGTGGCCGAAATGGCGAATTCGACAGTGCTGCGCCAGAGCCTGAACCGCCCCAGACACACCTCAAAGGCTAGCGTCGGCTGGTGTCTTTGCGAGCAACGCCGAAACGAACAGCTAATGCCACAGCGGCGCTGACTGACGTGCCCTCGGCGAGTGCAGGGGCGAGCGCGCGAAGAGGGCCAGCACGCAAGACCCGGCGAAGGCCCCCCGCCAACAGCATGGCTACCAGCGGCGCTCAGTGGGACCACTTGGCGGCTGAATTGTTTTTTTTGGGGGGGACGAGCAAGGAAGTGGAGGAGAGTACACAGCTTCCCCCCCGGCCGTAGGCGACCCGAGAAGGAGGAGGAGGAGGAGGAGGAGGAGGGAGGAGGAGAAGGAGGAGGAGGAGGAGGAGGAGGAGGAGGAGGAGGGGGAGGAGGAGGAGGAGGAGGAGGAGGAAGGAGGAGGAGGGAGGAGGAGGAGGAGGGGTCGCCCAAGCCCTTCGGAGAAACCCTCCAGGGGAGGGAGGGAGGATGACGGAGGCCAAAACGAATGCCCCCCTGCGACGCCGCAAGAGCGCGCCGCGGCCGGGGCAGGCCGGCGCAGGCGCCTCTGCGCGGGCCGGCGCGGCGGCAGCCCGTCCAGGACGCAAGCGGGGCATGCAGACGGGGAGGGAGGAGAGGGACGGGAGGGAAGAGAGGGGAGGGAGGAGTACAGCCGAGGCGTTGACCTAAGGAACCCTAGATAAGGAACGAGGCCCCTATTTTCCACAAGTTCAACTTCGATTTCGTCTCGGAAACATGAGGAAAAACCTGAGGCAAGCTGTGAAACACTTACGGGACACGCAGCCCCTCCCCAACGAAAAGGGTTCCTTCTTCAGGGCCCCGACTGTAGAGGTACAGTTAACACGCACAGCAAGGATGCGCGATAAGGATGCAAGGGCCTTGGACGCCCATCTCGAAGCTTTCCGAGCGGGGCGCGGCCAACGAAAGTGGCCAAGGATGGGCCGAGGAGGCAAGGATGTAAGGGTACCCTTGGGAAGGTTGCCCATCCTTACTACGCGGGTTGACTGTGAGACAGATGCAAACTGTGCTGCAGAAGTCGCAAGTGGCGTGCCATTCAGGAGGCGTCCAGGTGGTGGCCTCCCCTGGCAGACTGCACTAAGGAGGACCTGCGAGCCAAAAGGACGGCATGCACATGCGCATCTAGCAAAATACCTGTGTATGCCAGAGACGTGAAAAGCTGTCTTGACGCACTTCAGAACGCCAGCGCGGCCACTGCGAGCTATTACTGCCAGCGTTGGCTGTGATCATTGGGGCGTGAGGCAAGCTCGCAACCTCATTCCAACACGTCGGACGATTCTAGCTCGCCGGGCTCCCAAAATCTCCCGAAGGCAAACCCTCAGCAGCACTTCCTGTGCACAACTGTGGGGCCCGACTCGTCCCCCCCCCATTGAAGATCCACATGAACGGAAGGTGCTCTTCGAGGACAGGATAGATGCACCGATCCACACTGGGTACTTGCGCTCGGGCAGCGCCACGACCTTCATCTCTTCATCTTCTTTGTGGAATGAGCCAACAATGCCGTGGGCTCCTTGGTCATGCGCTCGCCGGTGCCTGGGGACATTGTGGCGCCACCAGACAACACCACGTTGGCGCAGAAATCCTTGCGGATATCGGCGTCGCACTTTATGACCGACTGGAACGTGGTGCCGTGGACCTTGTCCACGAACTTGGGCTGGAAAAGCACCTCTGGGCAGCGGAAGCACCCGCTGCCCACGGTTATGATGCTCCCCGTTGGGGAGCTCGTACAACTCCTCCCTGTCGGAGCTCTCCGCGGCAGCCTTCCCTTCGGAGTCGATGTCGAGCGGGATGTAGCAGAGCTTTTCCCGCACCCCCAAATCCAGGTGCAGGATCGCATGCGGCAGCGCGCAGCCCCCACAGATGGGCACGGTGTGCGACACGCGCGACGCGCCACCGCCGGAACCCATGACCGTCCCAGTGTGAAGTCGGGCCTGTCCCCCTACAGGGGGATTTTCGACGAAAAATAAAAGTACTCAAACAATACCCCAAAATGGGCAAACAATTATCAAAAAATAATCCCCGGACTATGTTTGGACTATTTTTGAATATTCCTCCTGTAGAGGAACGGGCCCGACTTTATCCCAGTGGTGTGGACTGAAGCGCAGAATGAGAACACTGCCTGCATCGCGACGTACATGTGCGCGTGTGTTGATCCGTCGTTTCGGCATTGGGCGGAAAGGGGGGAGAGGGGGGGTCTGGCTCCAGACCTCTGCTTCGTGCGACTGTTTGCAGCAGTGCGCCCATTATGGGGGAGGCTCCACCTGCTCCAAACGTGCGCCAGAAACGGCAAACATCTACTCCATATGGGGGGGGGGGAAGGCGGGCTGCGAGGGCCCGCGCCGATCGGCAACGCAACGGATACAAAAAACGACCACCTTCGCCGGCACGCTGCACGTTTCAAGCACGATCCGCGCCGTGCGCTCGCGAGCTCGCCGTTGGGTCCACGGGCGCCGTCGTGAGGAGCGGAGGGTGCCCCTCCCGAGCCACGCGGAGCTCGTTGCAGGAGGTGTGGTGCCAGGGCTCCCCCATGTCGCTCCAAGTGTGCACGATGCCATACTTCAGTGGCAGGGCGCCGCGCTTGCGCTGGGCCTCGTCGCCCACTGAAGCTGTCCCTCTAGTCTATGCCGACCATGATTCCTAGCATCGGAAGAAGCTGCACCCCTGGGGCGGACCAGGAGGCAGAGTGCCACCTGGGGTGGACCAACTGCACTGAGAAAACAGACTCTGCTCACCTGGGGTGAAACAGGAGGCAGGCTGACGCCCGGGGCGGACCAGGCGCAACGAATGGTTCGAGGCCCTCCGAAGCTTTGTTTTTGTAGGCTGCCTGTATGCCTTATTTGTGCGGGTGGTGCACAAAAGCCGTGCTCCCACAAGGGAATTTGGCGGGGACGGCCCAGATTTCGGGCACGAGCCTGGGCAGCCAGGGCCTTTTCCAGCGCTTCCGGGCGGCCCTTGGCACGGCGCGGCGGGTGGACACAGCACCGGAGGAGCAAGCACTCAGCCAACGTTCGAAGTAGCCGAGCGCGCGGAAACCTCCTCCAGATCCTCTTCATCAGCCCTCCTCCTCTTCCTCCGGCTCCCATCCTCCTCCTCCGTTTCCCCTTCTCTCCTCCTCCCCCTCATCATCCTCTTCCCCCTTCTCATCCTGCTCCTCCTCCTCATCCATCCATTCATCCATCCATCCATCCGTCCGTCCGTCCGTCCACCCACCCATCCATCCATCCATCCATCCATCTATCCATCCCAGACGCCTTCGCGTCGTGAAACAATTGCGACGGGAAGCGTTTGCCGAGTTTTGGCATCTGGTGGCCGCTACCGCGCTGCAGGGCAGCCAAGCACGCCTCGGGATGCAAGGCCGGTCCTGGGGAAACGGGTCGGGACATGCAGGGGGTCCACGCCGTGACACGAGCACGGTCGGGGCGTCGGGCGAGTGCGCGCAGCGAGGCTCGAACTGAAGAGTGGTTTCTAGCTGTTCGCTTTGTCTTCGCTCTCCCTGGCTCCGCCTTCGCGCCGCACGTGCTGCAAGTCTAAAGGGGCCCCAGGGCAGACAAATAAATACACACAAACAAAATGATTCACCACATTTTCGCATATTTTTGGGGTCTTCGACTTCCCCCCCACTTCCCGTATTTTGCCATATTTTCTGGGGAATCGACGATTCATTATGTCTGTGTGCTTTTTCCCCTCCTGCAAGTCGCCAGAACACCCCTCGCGTACCCCCCGCGTACCCCTTCGCGTACCCCCCGCGTACCCCTTCGCGTACCCCTCGCGTACCCCTTCGCACACCCCCTCGCGTACCCCTTCGCGTACCCCTCGCGCACCCCTTCTCGTACCCCCCGCCTACCCCTTCGCGTACCCCCCGCGTACCCCTCGCGCGCCTTCGCTCCGCACGTGCTGCAGGCCGCCAGACCACCGTGGAGGTCGGGCCCTGCCGCTCCCTCCCCGAGGCAGGCCCCGGGAGAGCCCGGCGTCCCCCCCGCACGGGGCACGCAGCGGCGTCGCGGCGCGGGGAGGCCCAGGGCACCCCCCCGCGCTGTGAGCAGTCGCGGCGGAAGGTCTTCGACACTGCTCTGCCAGCCGCAGGCCACAAGTGAGAAGGCGAAAAGCCACCCCCACCCCCAGTCCCGACGCCCATCCCCGAGCCCGCGATTCAAGGAGTCGGGACTGGGCGTGGGGGTGGGTTTTCGGGGTCCAGGAATGGAGAAAACCCACCCCCACCCCCAAAGC